TTTTACATATTATAAGGAAAAAGACTGAATTAAATGTAAAAGAAAGAAGCAATTGTACAATGTGAGAAAGTTAATATTGATTAGAAAATCCAATTATTTTGTTATATCCCAAGATAGTTGTTTGTCAGCAAGTGAACTTCCTATTCAATTGGCATGACTGAGTAGTTAGATCTATTCTCAGAGCAGCAATAAAATGAAATTCTCATGTCTCAGGAACTTAGTTGAGGTTTTTGGTTTTTTTTTACCCATGGGTTTATCCAACTGAGACCAAGGATACTTCTTGTTTTACCTAGAAATAATTTAAAATATTTGGTGGCTTGGCCAGAGTGGCTCAATATTTCAGCATCGACCTATGAACCAGGTCACAGTTTGACTCTCAGTAACGGCACCTACCTGGTTGCAGGGTTGATCCCCAGTAAGGGGTGTGCAGGAGGGAGCGGATCAATGATTCTCTCTCACCACTGATATTTCAATCTCTCTCCAAAGAGGTTCCTTCAGACTTCTCTGTACAACTGACACCCTTAGGTTTCCCACCATAGCAATTTTATTGTCTCTAACCATAGTTGAGCCTGGATATCTAGTTAAGCATCTGCAAGCCTCAGGTCTGGCCTTGGCCTCTAAAGGCCAAGTGATATCAGGCCAGACTTAAAAAATTTCCTTGGTCCATTACTGCACTATTTTCCCATGGACCCCATATTTAAAATACCTGCCTTCCTCTTTTCCCAAGTCAGTTCTCCTCATTCTGACGAAATGAAAAAGACAGTAACCTTCCTCCCTTGAAGCACCCAGATATGGAGTTCCCTATGGCTTGACTGTTGGACCAAAACATTGAAAAAAAAAAAAAAATCACTCAAGTAGGCACAGAAACTCTAGAACCCCAGGGTTGGATCTTGCTTGGAAGACTTCAATGATCACAGCATTATAGAACACTGTCGAATGAGAACTCCAGCTCATTCTTTAAAGCTATTATGGGGAAACCCTAGGAAAACAGTGTTGATGAAATTCCTTTAGGTTACCACGTATAGCTAGTTTGTGAATTTTCATTGTTGTATGGTATTTTATTGTGTTGATGTATTTCCTAAATATTAAAGTGTTTTTAAAAATATATATTTTTCTTGATTTCAGAGTGAAGAAGGGAAAGGGAGAGATAGAAACACCCATCAGCTGCTTCTTGCATGCACCCTACTGGAAATGGAGTCCAAAATCTGAGCATGTGCCCTAATTGGGAATTGAACCAACAACCTCCTGGTGCATGGGGCTACGCTCAGCCAGCTGAGCCACACTGGCTGGACTAATTATTAGAATATTGATAGACATTTCCATTGTTCCCAATATGGAATAATTATAAACCATGCTACAAAAATATTATCTTACATATTTTATAAAAGTATAATGGAATGGCACACTGATTCTCTGGATCAAAACATTATCCTTATTCTAGTCTTTGAGGGCATATGTTACTTCCCTGACCTAATACCTATTACTCTGTGCCTTGGTTATTCCACCCGGCCATGCCATTCTCTTGGTTCTTATAAAATATACCAGGCACCCTCCTCTTATAGCTTTTGCACTGGCTATTCCTTCTTCCTGAAATGTTTCTCCCTAAGATCTTCACAAGGCTTTTTCCTTCCCCTCCTCTAAGTCTGCATCCATATCCCTCCATGAGACTCATCTGACCAGTTCAAAATTCTAATTTGCTCCCCTAACACTTTCATTTCTTTCTTCATACAATTACCATGCATAAGTTTTCCGTATATTTCATTATGTTTCTGATTTAGTTAGTCTCTCTCCCCTGCACAGAAGCTCTAGAAGACAGAGATCTTTGTTTACTGACATATCCTAAGGGCATATATAGTTCCTGGAATAGTGCCTGGCACACAGAGAGGGCATTCAATGAATATTTATTAAAGGAAGGAACAAATATAGAATGGAGGGAGGCAAGAAGGGAGAGAAGATATAAAGAAAAATTTTGCTCCAAAGAAAAAAGAAGATATTAGGATGGTAGTCAGCATCAGGGAAAGACTTATTTAATAATAATAATAATAATAATAATAATAATAATATATATATATATATATATATATATATATATATATATATATATATATATAATTGATTTTTTTTTTTACCAGGAGGAAAGGAGAGGGATAGTTAGAAACATTGATGTGAGAGAAACATCGATCAGCTGCCTCCTGCACACTCCCTACTGGATATGTGCCTGCAACCACGGTACATGCCCTTGACCAGAATTGAACCTGGGATTCCTGAGTCTGCAGGTTGATGTTCTATACACTGACCCAAACCAGCCAAGGCAGGGAAAGACTTCTCTGAGATGACAGAGATGTGAACATGTCTCACTTCTGAGGAAGAGAAAGATCCAGTCATTGCTGAAGACACAAGAGAATGGCCAAAACCAAGTCCCGGAGAATGTGAGGAGAAATGGGATTCAGAGCATAGGCCATACTGAGAGAGCTAACTTGAAACGTAGGCAGATAGAGTAGGAGTCCAGTGGGAAAACAAAGGCAAGTGGAACCTAGGCAGAGGCAGGCACGGCAGTTTGAGGAGCCTAATCACAGGAACCAACCATGCAGAAATAACAAAATGTTTCTGCACTCAAAGTGGGAGGCATGGGGAACCAAGGGAGGGCTGCAGCAACACGGTGTACCGACGCATAGCAACAGAAAGTTCAGGTCTGTTGCTGGGCAAGAACAATGAAGGAATTGATCAGGTGACAAAACGGATAGATATAGAAACAGGCTTGTAGCAACTATATAGCGTGGACTACAAGGCTTTAAGGGGGCAGTCCATTACTGGGCCCCCCTCCCTGTGAGGGGAGTCTGAATCTTCTTGTAATACATTTCCCACACTTTTGCTTAAATCTTCTGGTCTGTGAAGCTCATACTTCAGTGCCAGGAGATGACCCTGGGAAAGAAAAAAGACCTCAGCTGACTGTTCCTCCAGTTATCAGTATGATTAGCATTGGACAAGGCCACCATGAGTGAGAATTTTACCAAGTCCCCAGCAAGAGTATACTAGATAAATTTAAAATTTTACATGGGGCCGAGACCGGTTTGGCTCAGTGGATAGAGCGTCTGCCTGTGGACTGAAAGGTCCCAGGTTCGATTTGGTCAAAGGGCATGTACCTTGGTTGCAGGCACATCCCCAGTAGGGGGTGTGCAAGAGGCAGCTGATCAGTGACTCTCTTTCATCGATGTTTTTAACTCTCTATCCCTCTCTGTAAAAAATCAATAAAATATATATTAAAAATTTTTTTTTTTTTACATGGGATTTGTATTGCTATGTAATAGTTTGCTCTTGAGGTCCTGGGCCTCCTTCTGAATGGCTGAGCCTGGTACTATTTAACCATAATCTCCCCAAATCTGTCCTCATTCCCCAGAGAAAATGACACCAGGATGGATGCTGACATTCGTGTCAAAAGCTCATTCTTGGAATTCCTGTTGAGATTGCAGGTCTGGGTTGCTCCTTATTCTTTTTCTTTTTTAAATTATATTTTTATTGACTTCAGAGAGGAAGGGAGAGATAGAAACATCAATGACTAGAATCATTGATTGGCTGCTTCTTGCACGTTCCCTACTGGTGATCAAGACTGCAATCTGTGTATGTGTCCTGACTGGGAATCCAACTGTGACCTGGTTCATAGATCAACATTCAACCAGTGAGCCACACCAGCTGGGTACTTCTGGTTCTTTGCATTTTGCTTTGTTTTTCACAGAAGTGGGAGATGAGGTCACTTAATTGTGCTGTTGGTGGTAGGCTTTGAGGTGTGAAGAAGGTTGGATATTTTTTTATGGGGAATGGAAGAATATTAGAAATTGCTGCTATAGAAAAAGGTAGAGAAAGCTCATTAAGGGATTATAGAAGAGTTAAGGTCAATTACAACCTGCTTGTTACAACCTGTCCAATTGTGCATTTTGCTATAGCAGTGCACTCAGCAGCTCAGTGATGGGAGTTTAAATCTAAGCTGGATGACGAAGGGAGTAAAAATAAGGGGACTGATAGGATCAAAATACCTGGAGAATGTTCTATGGACTGTAGCAGTGATTACCAAACTTTAATAGACATAAGTATCACCTGGAAAGGGCCTGATCTTGAAATTATTATTCAGTAGGTCTGAAGACTAGAATATATTTTCAACAAGGATTCTAGTGGGTTATGATGTAAGAGGGCCATGGATAATTTTTTGTGAAATAGTAGACTTGAAATTATATTGAGTTAAAAGAAGAGATATTTTGAGAAGAGAGAGAGGTAGAGTGTTTAAAGGAAAATATTCTAAGGATAGGTGGTTACCATGTGAGATAACTAATTTATTATTTCAAAGGTGTAACAGCCTGGAGTGATAAAAGGCTCAGGGTGTGGCAAAGGGAGTGGGTGGCTGAAGTGGAGGTGAACATCACCAGAGATGGGAAGGTCAAAGTACCGAAAGCTGAGCTAACCCATGTGGACCTTGAAGCCATCTCAGATTATGTCCTTACTTGGGATAGAGGCAAAACTGTGAGCACAGTTCAAAGTCACTGAAGGGGAAGGAACTACCAGTGGATAGATAAAGCAAAAATATGAAGTCGAGGAGGGTGTAACTGGTTAAGTTTTTACATGGTGGTGAAGAAGTAAAATTGGATAAAAAGGGTTGAATATTTGTTTGCTAGGCTCTACATACTTCAGTCCATTTAATCTTTACACCCAACTCATAAACTTCATATAACATAGGTGCTATTTTTATTCCTCTTTATAAAGAAACTGAAGCACACAGAGGTTAAGCATAAACCAGCATTTCACATTTCTTACCCACAATGCTATATTGATTCCTATAAAAGGTTAGTGGAAAGTGTGTAATACATTTCAACTTGCTTGGAAAAAACAATGAAAATATTTCTTTAAATTTTATTTGTATTAAAATATTTGTTTTTGCAATATCCAGTGAGTGGCAGTACTAATAACAATTCTAGGTCATCTAATAGAAATAGTAAAGCAGTTTGCAGTTATCAAGACTTCTGTCTACTCCATGCCTTGATGATTTCTTCAGCAGCATCTAGTGTACTGTCTTTCTGTAAATAAATGAAATAATTGTCATTACATATCAAAATAAATTCAAGATGAAGTGAATATTTAAATATAAAAATGCACCAAAGTTGTTTTTTAAATTAAAAAAATTTTTTTTTTATTGATTTCAGAGAGGAAGGGACACACACAGAGAGAGACTAAGACATCAATGATGAGAGAGAATCATTGATTGGCTGCCTTTCTGCACCCCCAAGAGGATTGAGTCCACAGTCCAAGGGCCAATGCTCTATCCACTGAGCCAAACCAGCTAGGGCCCAAAGTCAGTTTATCAGGAAGAGTTATGCAGTGATTTGGGAACTAAGTGCTCCTCAACTCCTGGTAACTTGAACGGGTCCAGTTGAGCTCCAGCCTGTCCATGACTCCACAGCTATGATAGAGCCCAGAGCACTCATTAGGGAACACACCTTCCCAGCGAATCAAGTCACTGGCCTTGCCTATTTTAAGACATAACCCCAGCAGAAGCATGAACAAAGTCTGGAAAATGATGTCTATAGTGTCTTCCCTCACTTTGGTGGCCGAAGATACAGGCTCCAAGCTCTTCAAGAAGCCCAGTAGCAAATCATAAAAACCAATTATTATAATGCTAAAAAGAGGAATGAACCTCACAAGAATTCAATAGTAGAGGAACTAGAAAAGTGTGATGCCAATCACTACCTCATACTGTTTTAGTATGCTGGCTGCCGATTCTGGGCACTTTATTGCTGCTATAATGACACCAAAGAGATCTACAACATTTTTTTTTTTAGATTAAAAAAATTAAAGAAATTTTTCAATTGCAGTTTACATTCAATATTTTTTAAAATAAATTTTGGGTGTATAGCACAGTGGTTGGACAATAATATACTTTAAAAAATGTTCCCCCCAATATTTCCAGTACCCACCTGGCATCATATATAGTTATTAGAGTATTATTGATTGCATTATAAAGGAATCTTTTTTACCCAGTCCCCCAACTGCCCTTTCCTTTGTATTAAAAAGGAAATATGGACAGATTAAAATAATCAAGTGGAAATGGATTGTCTCCCCCTTCATCCTTTTCACCCAATCCCCCAACTGCACTTCCCTCTGGCAACCATCAGTCTGTACTCAGCATCGATGAATCTGTTTGTGCTTTGTTCATTTATATTGTTCTTCAGCTTCCACAAATAAATAAAATCATATAGTATTTATTTGTCTTTCTCTGACTTGTTTCAATAGCATAATACCCTCTAGGTTCTTTCTAGTATGGATATCTGATCTCAGTAAAGAGAATTTTCAAAATACAATTGCAAAAGCAGACCTCCAAAAGAAAAAAACAATCATATTAACATACAAATACAGAAACAAGTCAAAGAGTACACATTTCACTCCCACCTCAATCTACCTATGAAAGTGTCTTATGGAATTTTTTAGTTGTTTTGGTTGTTCCTAAGCTAATAAATAAAATTTCATTGCAGTTTTAATTTTCATTTATCTTACTAAGAGTAAGGTGGTGCATTCTTTCATATACCTGACAGCTACTGAGGATTTTACCCATAATCATTGTAAAGTGCTGCTTTTTGGCTTATTTTGGCCTAAATTCAAGGCTTGCTTGCCTATTTATTTATTTATTGGATTTCAATTTTTTAAATATTTTAATTAATTATTTTATTTTATTTTTATTTACTTATTTTTACTTCTATTTTCTTGGCATGTTTTGCCATACTTTTAGTTTTAGTTTTTCCAAGAGGTTAACTTTCCCTCCCAGTATTGCTCCACATTCTTCCAATATAGAATGTTGATGTAAAGAGGTGAGTCCACATTGATCCTCATATCCTGCTCTCATGCAGGCCTTGAACTTTTTGTCAAGATGTCAAAGAATTAATATGTTATCTTTAAAGTCCAATATAGTAAACAAGGTATAGCTCAGTGTTAATTATTCTGAGACAACTTTTCCTGAGATAAGGTATTCCTTTTCAATTTTAGATTGTTTGATTTTTGAAATGGAAAGTATTCTCAAAATAAAGCTATAAAATTCTTTCCTGGTTCCATTTGTTCTGCTTTCTCCCCTCCAGTGACTAGAGATTTTATTTGACTACAATTTTTCTGATATTTTTAAATTCTATTATTTTTCCACATCTTTTTGCTCAGTCTTCTCAATCCTTAATGTGCTTACAGAAGTATTTAGTGTTTTCTGTGCTGTTTGCATTATTAGTACAATTACGAATAGCTTTATTTTTTTTTCCTTTAAGTTTCTTATCTGAGCTCTGACAGCTACCATTTTATTTTCTTATATTATCTTATTCTATTTTCCCGAACTTAGTCTGTGCTTTCATCTTGTTTTATAGGGTTTTAATTTGAAATATTAAAATTTTTATTTGCTGTACGGCAACATTTTTTCTATGAATATTTTGTCTGACACTGTTTTTAACTTGTATCATTCTCTTTTTTCCCCTTATAGTATCTTTTTATAGCTTCATAGCTGGCTCTCCCTTTTTTTTTTCTTTTCTTTCTTTTTTTTTTTGCTCACTTTTGATCGAGTACTGTTTGTAAGTTCCCAATGCCATCACACCTACTGGTCTTAGTGTTCTGATATGCATACTGCCTGCTGGCTTTGTCTGGATTGGAAGATGTATTTGCAGATTTGGAGAAGAGCGAAGCCAGGACAGCACTAGGAGACAGCAGAAATTCTCCAGGCTCACAGTAAATTTTAATATAATTGATGTAGAGTTCTTTTAGATTTTACTTCTTCCTAACTAATTGGCTACCTCTAATTTAATATATTTCCTCCACAATGTCTCAGCATTCTTTTGCAAAGTGAATGGGATGAATGAGTAAATCTATAGCCCAATCAGAATCTTTTCTTCACCCTGCCTCATACAGGTTCTAGATGACATGACTATGTTTCTGCCCTGCCTCTTCCCTGATGCCACATGGGTCTGGAGAAGCTCTCACTGCCAGTGCACCTACTGGGCCTATTGTTCTGAATAATGAGTATGCTACCTGATGTCTGTAACTTGAAGATGTAGAAGCAGGAGCCTTTCTAGGTGTCTTCTCTGTACCATTACCTTCACTGTTCTTGGCAACTCTTTATCATTTACTGGGGAATTTGTTTTGCATTTTATTAGTTATTGTTATTTTTAAATGAGAGAGAGAGAGAGAGAGAGAGAGAGAGAGAGAGAGAGAGAGAGAGAGAGAGAGAGAGAGAGGCTGAAGAGAGAGAGGCTGAAGAGAGAGAAACATTGGTTGCCTTCCATCATACACTCCCAGACTGGGGACTAAACCGTCAACCCAGGTATGTGCCCTGCCTGGGAATCAAACAGGCAATCTTGGTGCATGGGATATGATGCTCTACCAACTGAGCCACTCATCTAGGCTCCTAGTTGTTATTTTATTTTTTAAATAATTTTCATGGAGAGAATGATTTTAAAACTAGAAATCTAATGTTATTAACCATTTTAAAACTAGAAGTCTAATGTTATTTTAGACTTCTATATAATGTTATGTTAGTTCTATTTATATTCAAATGATATACTTCAAAGAGCAGTGGTCCCCAATCTGGGGCACATGCCCCACAGGGGGGCAATTTGAGAATGAGTTATTAACAGTGAATTTTTTGCATTTCTTATGATTCTATGGGCCTCCTATACAGTATATCAATATATATTGTGTCATATTTATGCATTTTAGTTCTTTTTAAAAAAAATAAATTTTTATTGTTCATATTATTACAAATGTTCCTCATTTTTTCCCCCCTCCATTGCTCCCCTCCACCAGGTTCCCACCCCACCCTCTGCCCTTTCCCTACTCCCCATTGTCCTCATCCATAGGTGCACAGTTTATGTTCAGTCTCTTCCCACACCCCCCTCTCCCCTTTTCCCCAAGAATCGTCAGTTCACTCCCCTTCCATACCTCTGATTCTATTATATTCACCAGATAATATTGTTCATCAGATTTTTTTAAATTCCCTTGGTTTTTAAATTCACTTGTTGATAGTTACATATATGTTGTTCATAATTTTTATCTTTATTTTCTTTCTCTTCTGAAAGAACCCCTTTCAACAATTCATATAATTCTGGTTTGGTGGTGGTGAACTCCTTTAGCTTTTTTTTTTTTTTTTTTTTAATTAGGGAAGCTCTTTATCTGGCTTTCGATTCTGAGTGATAGCTTTGCTGGGTAGATTATCTTTGGCTGTAGGTTCTTACTATTCATCACCTTGAATATTTCTTGCCATTCCAGTCTGGCCTGCATGGTTTCTGTTGAGAAATCAGCTGACAATCGTATGGGTGCTCCTTTATAGGTAACTACCTGCTTTGCTCTTGCTGCTTTTAATATTCTCTCTTTGTCTTTTGCTCTTGGAATTTTAATTATGATTTGTCTTGGTGTGGTCCTTTTTGGATTCCCTTTGTTTGGAGTTCTGTGTGCTTCCTGGACTTGTAAGTCTAATTCTTTCACCATGTGGGGGAAGTTTTATTTTTCTTTTTCTTTTTTTAAAATATATTTTATTGATTTTTTACAGAGAGGAAGGGAGAGGGATGGAGAGCTAGAAACATCAATGAGAGAGAGACATCGACCAGCTGCCTCCTGCACACCCCCCACTGGGGATATGCCCGCAGCCAATGTACGTGCCCTTGACCAGAATCAAACCTGGAACCCTTTAGTCCACAGGCTGACGCTCTATCCACTGAGCCAAACCAGTTTCGGATGAGGGAAGTTTTCTGTCACTATTTCTTTCAGTATGTTTTCGATATCTTGCTCTCTCTCTTCTTCTGGGACCCCCAAAATTCTGATGTTGGTTCACTTGAAGTTGTCCCAGAGGTTTCTTACATTATCTTCAACTTTCTGGTTTCTCTTGTCTTCTTGCTTCTGCAGAGGAGTGTCTTCTGGCTCTTTATGTTCCAAATCTTTGACTTGATTCTTGCGATCTTCCATTCTGGTTTTAGGACTTGTATAATATTTTTTATTTCAGATAATGTATTCTTTATTTCTTGTTGATCCCTTATTATTTCTTGTTGATCCCTTATTA